TATATATCATACCTTATTTACATATGTACGCCTTACCTTGTGAAAACTGTTTTTCATTGATTGATATTGTTTGAGAATGTACTCTGCATCTTAACAGATGATAAATGTTTGTTGCCTTAAACCATGTCAACCAGTCTATAGCCTATCTATGGTAAGTTATCTTAATTTATTTATTATCTTTGTCTCTTTATCATGTTTTGCAGATTGCTTTAGTTCATTCTCTGTTCACGGAGAAGGAAAAGGGAGCCCCTCCTACCAAAGTGAAGGTCCTGCCCACTGGGTCAAAGTCCAAACAAATGAAGAAAACTGTAAGCATTTTCATTATTTTCTTTTTATATTAAATGTATCCATTGTCATGTTGCCATAATCATCCTCATTATTATTGTCATCAGTGTTGCATGCATTCAGTGTTGCATAATGCATGTATTTATTGCTATTTGGATATAAGCGAGTTGCATCTTAAAAATGAAATTCATCCATAGGTTGGGTCTCAGTTCCGTGACTCCCTGAACCTGTTGATGATGACGCTTAACTCAACGACGCCACACTATGTGCGGTGCATTAAACCAAACGATGATAAGATGGCTTTCACATTTGACCCAACACGAGCCATCCAGCAGCTAAGGGCTTGTGGTGTCCTGGAGACAGTGAGAATTAGTGCCGCAGGTTATCCCTCACGGTGAGTGGCACGAGAGGTGTTTTTGTCATTCACATGGGGATGGGGGGGTCTTTTGGGTTGTGGTGGTTAGAAAGTAATGAAAAGGGGATTTGTTATGAAGCTTTCTTCATATTAGAAAACTGGTAATGCACTTATGTAATTTGGAGAATTTACTTTGCATACATTATAAAAGAAAGAAAGAAAAAAAAGATTGGAGTATGGTGTTTCATAATTATTTCAGCTTTGTGTCAGTTTAGATGTGTTTGATATGGACAGTGTTGCCACTATTTTACATAATATTGCCATATGTCTTTTGTGTACATATAATTGAGAGTAAAACTTTGTGTATGTGGGGGGGGTGACTCTCTGGACTAAAATTTTGTTTTCTTGCAGATGGACTTATCATGAATTCTTCTGTCGGTATCGTGTCCTATGTAATTCCAAAGACATTAAGAGGAATGATATGCGTCTAACCTGTGAAAAGATCATCAGCAACATGATCAATGTAAGTTACAAACTTTTTTGATTAAATTGATTGATTATTTGAAGAAGTGCTTTGATGTATTTGATGGTTTTGATTTTTTTTTTTTTTTTTTTATCCTTTAAAACTTTATTCTTGGTTTAGTAGATATTTTTTATCATTGTTATAGTGATTGTTATAATTGTTATGATTATAATAATTATTTTATTGTCACTATTATTTTTATTTTCATTGTTTTTATTATTATTTTATCATTATTATTTTTATCCTTATTATTATTATTTTTAAGTTTTTTAATTTTTAATTTTTTTTATTTTTTAGATTTTCATTATAATCATTATCATCATAGACATCATTACTATTGTGACCTTTATTATCAGGACGAAGACAAGTTCAAATTTGGCCGCACGAAGATCTTCTTCCGGGCCGGCCAGGTGGCCTACATGGAGAAGCTCCGTGCAGACCGCCTGTCAGCGTGTGGCGTCATGATCCAGAAGCACGTTCGGATGTTCCTCCACCGCAACCGCTACAGGACCATGCGCAGGGCAGCTGTCACCATCCAGAAATACACCAGAGGGCTCAAGGCACGAAGGTTGGTAATGAAGGTTCATGAATACGCTTTGAAATATTTTGTGCTATAAGGATATGGATGAAAATATTCTTCGTAAGGTAAGGGTGTATGTCAGGCTATACTAGCTATATCTTACTTATCTTTTCGTGATTTTTGTTTTTGTGTATTCAGTTATTTGTATTTTTGTATACTATTTTTGTTAATCTTATTGTTGCTAGAGTTGTGGCTAGATTTTTTTTCACTAGACTGGCTTTACAGAAATTGTCCTTCATGAAAAACTCTTAACAGATTTATTTTGAGACCAACTGTTCCATGACTTTCTCTTGCCCATTTCCAGACATGTGCATCACATCCGAAGAACTGCAGCAGCTATCAAGATTCAGGCAGCTATTCGAGGATGGGTCAAGCGGGTACAGTACAAGAGGCTGGTTTACACAGTCACCCAGCTGCAGGCACATGCGAGAGGTGCTTGGGCTAGGGAGAGATACCAGCATATGCGTAGAGTCAAAGCTGTGAGTAAAGTTGAACCTCATTTACTATCAGGGTTAGTTTCCTGAAGAAAAAAAGAAGTTATTTTTTAACAAAGGCAATGTTAAATATTGCTTTCTAGAGGTACAAGTGTAACCAATATCTAAGTATGGTGATAAAGGTGATGAGAATGCATGAACTATGTAATATTACAAATGACAGAGAATCTACAACACAGAACTAATCTCATCCTAATGCTTTGCACCCCACAGGCTATTGTTATACAGAAGAATGTGCGAAAGTGGCAGGCTGTCCACCACTACAAAATGGCCATGGGAGGCATCATCACCTTGCAGGGTCTGGTCCGTTGCTTCCTTGCCAAGAAACAACTGAAGAAGCTGAAGATCGAAGCCAGATCGGTGGAGCACCAGAGGAAGCTCAACAAGGGTCTCGAAAACAAAATTATCTCTCTGCAGCAAAAGCTCACAGAGGCTGTGAGTTGCTTTTAATTATTTAGTTTGTTTAAACAATAATCCTCTTGCTGCCTTGTTTTTATGAAGATATGCTTTATTTTTCTGGGTCTTTTACTCTGACATCTACCAATGAAAATGTCTCATCTGCATTTTCCCACAGAAACTGGAAGTGGGCAACGTCAAGACATACAAAGAGGAGATTGTTACCCTGAAGGAGCAGCTGTCAGAGATGAAGGGAGTGGAGACACAGCTGAAGAATTCCAGTAACCGTGTCAGCGAACTCGAGGCGATGGTAGCTAAGTTGACGCAGGAGGTTGAGGTGAGATTTGGTCGCTCATTCAAAGTCTTATTAAGTTGTCTTGTTCATTTTGGTTACAATGACTTCCTGGATTATTTAGTAAGAACTAGAAATTGACAAATTATAACCATTAGATGTAGGAGAAAATATTCAGAATTAACCAGTAGTAAAATTAAAACAGATTGTAAGGATTCGTGTTTATTTAGGGTTAGAATAGCAGTTAAGTCTGATTGGACACTGCAAATACTTGAGAATCAGTACAAGCCATAAAGGACTAAACTTTTGGACAGTAGCTAAAAATGTATCCTCAAATATTCAATCCAATCACACCTAATGTCTTTGGTGTCCATAGGCGGAGAGAGGTGAGAAGATGGACATGCTGTCTGAGAAGGAGAGAGCGGAGAAGGAGAACCGCGAATTAGTCGAGAAGCTCAATGCAGAAAATGCCAAGCTTACTGAGGAATTGACGAATGCCAAGAAGGAAGAAGCCAAGAAAGAAGGGGAAGGTTTGTGTGTTATGGTTATTGTGTGTAATGATTATCATATGTTTTTCTTTATTGTTATTATTAGTCTGTAGCATATTTTTTAGTGTTTATTGCTTATATCTTTCTTTTATATAAATATAACTTGTTTTATATGATAATGATAGTAATTATGATAATAATAATGATTAAGATATAATGATTAAGATAATAATAATGATTAAGATAATAATAATGATTAAGATAATAATAATGATTAAGATAATAATAATGATTAAGATAATAATAATGATTAAGATAATAATAATGATTAAGATAATAATAATGATTAAGATAATAATAATGATTAAGATAATAATAATGATTAAGATAATAATAATGATTAAGATAATAATAATGATTAAGATAATAATAATGATTAAGATAATAATAATGATTAAGATAATAATAATGATTAAGATAATAATAATGATTAAGATAATAATAATGATTAAGATAATAATAATGATTAAGATAATAATAATGATTAAGATAATAATAATGATTAAGATAATAATAATGATTAAGATAATAATAATGATTAAGATAATAATAATGATTAAGATAATAATAATGATTAAGATAATAATAATGATTAAGATAATAATAATGATTAAGATAATAATAATGATTAAGATAATAATAATGATTAAGATAATAATAATGATGATTAGAATGATGATGTTGATGATAGTAATAATTTTCATTTGTCCTCATTGTTATATGTGTCTTGAAAGCAAATGAAGGTAATCTTGAGTTATGCTTTTAATTTTTTCACTCTTTGTATATTTGTTAACAAATATTTTTACTAACAGAGCTGCTGAAACGCAAGTATGAGGCTGAGAAGCAGCAAATGATCATGGAGTACTCTGAAGAGAAGTCCTCATACCAGCGGCTGTTGAAGGAGTTCAACCGCCTGGAGCAGAAGAACGAACAGCTGGAGGAACAGATGGCAAAAATGATGGGTGGCAACTCGCACAAGGTTTGGTTTGCTCCTTTGTATGTGGTTGGTTAGGTGGGGAGAGGTATTGAGAAGGACTGGTATTCCTCCATCCTATTTTGTGATTTTAAAAAGAATTTACTTTTTATGAGTACAGGAACCATTGTGAATATGTGCATAGATGGTATTATTGAGAATTCTTTACTTACATTTTAGTACAAAACATGGAGATGACTAGGAAAATACTTTTTATGAGTACAGGAACCATTGTGAATATGTGCATAAATCTGTATTACTGAGAATTCTTTACTTACAGTTTAGTACAAAACAGGTTTACCTTTTGATACATGGTGCATTAAACACTAAAATTATCTGGCACACAGAGAACAGCCAGTAATGTGAGCAACTTGAGTGGGGCAAGTGATGCGCCAACAGAATTGGTGCGTGATGACGCCTCAGAATTCAACTCAATCATAGTCGATGATGTAAGTAGTAGTTTCATCTTGTTCTCTTTTGATCTCTATTGATTGCATCACTGATTTTCGTATTCTGCAGTGGAGACTTTTCATAATGTAATGCAGTGTTTATATTCTGTAACTGAGTGTAATTTATTATACTTTCTCTCTGTGTGTTTGTAAAAGAATTAATCTTTATTATAAGAAGAAAATTATTAATAGTTAGAACTAAGGAGAATAGGTCACTAAATTTATTAGAATTCAACTGATAGCTTTGTTTGATGTACAAAATCCTATATTTAAGTGAATATCTGGAATATTTGTTCTCTATTATGAATAGAGAGCTGTAACATCCATATTTATGTAATATCAAATGTTTTGAAAGCCAGAATATGCAGATTGATTTTGCTTATGTGCTTGATCATAACAGTTTGAGGCATTAGTCTCTGATTTAACCCATAGACAGTGGGTACATGCACTATCTAATATGGTTTTGTTTTATACATTTTGTTTATGCATAGTTGACTTCACAGGCATTTAGACCTCAATGAATCTGCTACCAGACTTACTTGATGATACTCAGTCCTTGAATTTTCATTGAAAAAAAAAAAAAAAAAAAAAAAAAAAAAAAAAAAAAAAATGTTCCTATTATCATTATTAACACTATTAACCACTGTGATCCAGATGACATGATCATTAGGTCTTGGAAAGATTTGGCCTGAGGGTTGGGTGACTATCATGGGAAAGTCTGGCTGTGGGCCGGGGTGCCTTTGTAAGCATTTCGGCTGAAGGCTGGGGTGATGGGATAGACTTGCCATGAGTGCACAAAGCTCTTGGAGGCTGATTAGACTCATTTGGCATTAAGGAAGTGGCATTTGCATTATATTCATTATATTCATAGATTACCTACATAGAGTGCAAAGAAAACAGTCTATTACCATCTGGATAAAACATATCAAATGACAACTATAGACATTGGAAAGTGGCAAGAAAAGCAAAAAACACTTTTGCAGAAAAAAAATCCTTGTAATGGGGACACACAGAGTCTTGCCAACACACAATAGCCACACACCCGTCAGAATGTCCACTCACATAAGCCTGTATTTTAGGCCACATGATGGCTGTTGAGCATCCGGATCCAAAGGGTTATCATTATTGCATAATTATTAATAGTAATGAAGTAATAAAAAACATCCTTTCTAAAAATTCATGCAATTGAGTGATCTGTGACGTGAAACAGGTGACTAAGTGCTTTTGGAGCCATCTTTGTAAAAATAAAATTACTGAAACAAAACCAATGACTTTGCCTGTATACATATGATGTCAATGGATTAATTGCAGACAAATATAGATCTTATAAAGTTGAAATGAAGTTATAATTTGCAGAGTATTTGCTGTATAGATGCATGTTTATTTTTACATTGTTAGAATCATGTTTGCTCTGATTGCAGTTTTATTTTCGACAGTTTTTGAAGGTCTTGGAATAATAGCTATTTTATGCTATAAGTGCTAAAAGTGCTATACTTACTACAGCATGTTATGATCCAGTAAGCTGCATGAAATACAAGTGAAGTTATTCAATTTACAATAAATATTACACTAACACTCTTGCTAAAAGTATGGGAATGCTGTTCAAAAAGAAAGAAAGAAAGAAAATGCATCTTTTTATGCATCATGGTTAATTTTATTTTAATATTGAGTTTATTCCGTTTATCTTTGATGCTTCCCAGGATTGGATGTCAGTAAGTTACTCTTTACTAAAAGTTGTGTTAAAAAAAGATAATATCAAATTTTATGTACATAGATTCAGAGGGATAGATGAATACAAACTTAGGATATGTGATATGAGTTTAGATACTCTTTTGTATGTGATTAGAAATTTTCTGTATATATTGCTCGTAGTTTAGGATAATTTGAAATTTAGTCTGTTTTTTGTACTTTAGGATGATGGTAACAGATGATCATAATTTTATTAGTATATGGATTACTTACCCATTAATGCCTGGGTGGCTGCATGTACATGCCATGTCCATTGTGGGTTTAGTTTATTAATTTTACTTGCACACACAGCTAAGCCCGTGTGGAGCCATCTCTGTGTAAGCAAAATTCACAAAACAATGACCTACAGTGGACAGTGCAATTGCCAGGTTCTAATGGTTGATTCAAATGAAGAATTAGGGTCATAATTTTTTGTAACTCAGACACTTTGTCGAATAATAGTTTTTACTAGTCTGGGTTTGGAGGCAGTGGGTATGGTTAAGTCTTAAGGTCAGCATTTTGATATCTATTTTTTGTGATTGTTTTAGGGCATAGTTGGTGTGGTGTTAACTAGTCTCTATACCATACATTTGTCATTTTACTCTTTAACAGTGATAATATTCATGAAGACTACAATTATCATTCAAAGTGTATTCAGTATGTCAGATTTTGACTATACATATTTTTCTGTATGTATGCAAGTTGAAGTAGTGCTCTTTATTGCTTTATTGGCACATAACAAATTCTGATTCTTATCTGTCACTGCCAAGAAAGGCCATATTACAATGTCCAATACTTCTGGCTGTTTCTGAGCATAATGCCTAGTGTATGGCTTCTTTCTTGAGCCACAGTGTATCTCTGCTCACTTAGCTAAGAGATACATCTACTAGAAATGTAACAATGTAACCTCTCTAATGAATGTCTTCAAAAAATATTGTAAGGCAGAAGTGCTTGCATTTTTTTTACTTTTTGTGTAACCTTTTTTTATCTGCTTATTTCAGCTTTTTGCAACATTTTGCCAATAGAAAATATTTGAGCTTTTCATTAACTTAGTAAAGGTGCTGTGATTCAGGTACTACTAACAGCACTTATTCCTCCTTGGTATTGCAAATGACTTATTCAATGAATCCTCAATTTCAGGATGTGGGATATGGCTCAGTCCGCAGTCGAGCAAGCGAAGCATCTGACAACAGCAGAAACCTTGAGTCGATTGATTGGGGTTCACCTCAGAAGGGTGACACTTCAGAAATTAGGATTCCTGTGCCAGAAAAGGTACGTTGATGAAGAGTTTATCTGTATTTGTGTCCTTCATTCTTCCCCATTTTTTTTTTTTATTATTATTATCCTAATGTTTATTTATTTATTTTTTTTTGTAGGACACTTACTATCCTGTGTTCTATTGTAGTTTCAGATTAGTGATAGATGTGATTATTGTGTGAAGTTTCTATTCTTAGTTTAGATATGAAGCACCAGATTCATGTAGAAGGTAATTTCCACTTTAAACAAACCACATTCTTTTTATTCAATCTTGTAGTTTTTTGATATTCATAAGTAAAATCTTTAGATATTGTTATACCAAACCTCCTTCTTTATAACTGGACATTTTAAACCATATTTAAAAAATTGTAGAACAATGTTTGTCAGTAGTTCCTCAGATAATATAATGGTCTCATTTTTCACTTTCTACCCCAAAATATTGGTAGTCAAGGTAGTTAGATTTTTTACTTGAAGATATTGGAATTTAATTTCAAGTTTAGTCCTCTTTTATTTGAATTATGAAAAACAACAGCAGGTTCTGTTGCTCTCGGTTGTAAACTTCAGAAAACAGTAATTCTAAAGTGAGATATTTTGCTTGTTTGATTTTTGGGGGGAATTGGCAGTTATGATGCTTTTTTTTTTTTTTTTTTTACATGCTTTGATCTGCATGACGGTTGGCCTTTCATTTACAGTGAATAGCTTCTCTAACTATATATACATATTGCAAATTTTAAATAACAAAAGTCAAAGTAAAGAAAAGAAGAGAAGATATATTAAAAAAAATACATCCTACACTTAACTGGCTTCATAGCAACAGAAAATAAATAATACATGAAAATACAGAAAAAATCATGTGTGATGCTGAACAAAAGCTGATGTTTCTCATAGCTTTTAACTCTACTGTGGAACATATAATCTCTCTACTTGGAGTGTCTGTACTTTGGTCCTAATTCACCCTGGAGACTTCTCTGTGACTTTAGCCTTTAATAACTAGAAGGTTAAGTTCGTACAAGAGTAATGACTAATGCATGAAATAATCTAGCACATATTATAGTGATTCTCAGCTCTTTATGGTCATTGGTGTGTGCAATGTTACTGTTTTTTTCTAGGCATGGAATTACTGTTTGTTCTATTATGAATGGGAATCAGTATGATATGTGCTAAAACAAAGATTTTGAATTAACAAAGCACCCCAAAAGTTTGATATTTTTCTCCTCTCTTTACACACATAATATCTCTTACCTAACTAACCCCCTCCTTCCTCCTCTTTGTGCAACACCCTCTTGCTGCATGGTGTCTCCTCTATGGTGATCTGGCTCTAGGTGGAGGACATCACCCTGGTTCTACAACTGCAAAACAAAGTGCGTGAGTTAGAAAAGGAGCGGCGGACAATGGCTAAGCGCATAGACCAGCTAGAGAGCTCGTCCTCGCCCCTGGACGACTCGCAGCATGCACAGGAGTTGATACGGGTAGGCCTCGCACTGCAGACTAGAGAGCCGCTGTAAACTAGAGGGGCCAGAAGAATGTAGTTTCACTGTGTGTATGTTGTCCTGCTACTAAAGAAAGCAATTAATATCACAATGCAAGTTATGTAACATTTCAGAGATCAATTTCCATTTTTACTGTTCTTACATCTGAGTGTCGGGAAATAGTTTGGGGTTGAGTATTTGCTATTTTTGTGATGAGGAGGAGTCTTAGCTTGAGAAGGAATTAAAGAATGATCTTTTTTGGAAAAGGTAAGTTATCTTTTTCCACATTAGAGATTTATGTGCCTGTGTGTGAATGGAAAATCAAGACTTCAACTATAATGGATTTTTACTATAGTATTTCGTTTTCCTATTTTTTCTGTGATATAGGTTATTTAGAATAGTTTTTTTTTTTTTTTTTTTTTTTTTTTTTTTTTTCTTTTTTTTAGAGGTTAGGGCTGTTTATGCACTAAATATGAGTATGATCTCTGGAGGCAGAGTAAAACCTTACTAGGTTTCCTCAACCCCGTTCTTTTGTCTCCTCTCCCAAACATTTCAGGAAGTAATAGTTATGTATCCATATTATATTAGGATGATTCATGTTAGGATGAAATACATATTTATATTTTTTCTTGGTTTTGCTTGAGCTTTGCTTCGTCACTGATGCTTCATGTTTTCAGTTGTGCAGCTTTTAAATAGCAGCTTTTGAGACAGAAAAAAATTGTATGTCGAAAAAGGGATAAATCAGAATGAGTATCTTCACAGTGCAAGACATGTATTTGATGCTATTCAGTTAATTCATCAGAAATAGACCAGATGTATTAAATACATATTTTGCACTATTAGGATATTCAGTCTCATGCAGATCTTTTTCTAATTTTGACATAAGGAATTCTTAGAAATAATTTCCAGTCTACATTTTGCGCATGAAAACAAGCTCTTTCTTGCTCAGCAATGTGGCTTTTTATTGGTTCTCAGCCCAGTATTCTGTAGAGTGTAAGACATGTTACTATTTAAGTGAACAGATGATTGAATATGAAAGGTTAATGGACAGTTAACTGACAGGGTGACAGTTTGTGAATCAGTAAAAGAATTTGATTTGCAGGAGTGAGTGAATTAGTAAAGGAATGAGTGTTTTAGATGAGATGTGATGAGATGAGATGCAATGCAGAGGTGACAAGAGATGAGATGATATGAAGAGAGATTAGGTGATGAAAGGAGAGCGAGTCAGTAAATCAGAGTAAATGTGAGAGAAGGAGAGAGAAAGAGAAAGAGAGAGAAAATATTAATGAATGAGAGGGAGAGTAATAGTCATAGCTTGTGCACACTCTAAAATCAAGCAGCCCATTTCCCCCATCATTGCAGAGATGCAAAACCCTGACCATTACCCACGTACTTATCCCCTTCCTGTCTTTGCCTCGCAGCTTCAGGAGTTGGAGATGGAGAACGCCAAGCTGAAGGACGACTTGAACCGCCTCCGTAAATCCATTGCCGACTCGGAGCCTCAGAACAACCGCATCCAGGAGTTCATGAGTGAGTGTTGGAGTTGACCTTTGTTCTTTTTGTTTTTCTTTAGGCTTGATTTCAGGCTTTCTTGTTATTTTTTTTTTTTAGGGGTGGGGGGTGTGGGAGAGGGTTGTCTGGATTTAGACTCATTTTGTATAGTTTTATTTTATTATTAGTTAGATTTATTATTTATTTTTTCATATTAGTTGTATTTATTGTTTATTTTTGTATTTATCTTTCTGTAGGCCTTTGTTAGATTTAGCTTTGACTTTTTAAGGATCTGTTTTGGTGTTCTGTGGGACAAATATGAGGTATTATTTACAATATCTTTTATACAGACATATGGCAAGGATATTTTTGTTTGTTTTCATTTTTTCATGAAATTCTGGAATGTCTTATTTTGTTGTTATGATATAGATATTTTGTTTTTCTTTGGGTGTTTTGTCCTTTGGATGCGTTTTTCCTTGTTGAAGTTTTATATGAGGATAAATGAGGTGTATTTTATTCATTAATTTTATTTTTTTTATGAAAAAGAAAAGTCCTTAAATTGAGGAGAAACTATAAGTTAGAGAGAAGAGAGAAAGGGAAAAGAGAAAGACAAAGGGATAAGAGAAAAGCAAGAATAAATAATGGGAGGAACTAGGAAAGAATAGGCAGTAACGGGTATTAGGAAGGTGGAGGAAGAAGAGGAAGATGTAAAAAAGGGAAAATGAAAAGTATTTTAAACTAACAGTGAGGAATGATATATTAGAAATGAGTAGAGAAAAATAGGTAGAAAATAGACTAGGATATTTTGAAAAGCTATTGGGAAATAAGAACAAGAAGAGGGGAAATGGGGAATGTAAAAGAAGGAGAAGAGGAATGAGTAATTGAAATAAAAAAGAACGAAAACAAACATCTGAAAGAAAAGCATGTAGTAGGGAGAGAATGAGAGGAGGAAATCTGAAAATTAAAGAGAGAGAGAGAGAGAGAGAGAGAGAGAGAGAGAGAGAGAGAGAGAGAGAGAGAGAGAGAGAGAGAGAGAGAGAGAGAGAGAGAGAGAGAGGCAGAGAGAGGCAGAGAAAGGCAGAGAGAGGCAGAGAGAGGCAGAGAGAGGCAGAGAGAGGCAGAGAGGCGAAACGAAAATAAAGAAGTACACTTCAGGAAGAGGTGAACCAGATCGGGACCGAGGTATGTGGATGGACAAGAAGGGGTGGGGAGAAGGGAGGGCGGGGGAGGGATAGGGGGAACGCGGGGATGTGGTGGAGGAGGAAAGGTGGGGAAAGGGGGGAGGGGGTAGGGGCGCCGGGAAATGTGGTAAAAGAAACGTGAGGAAAGGAGTTAAGTGTAGTGGGGTAGGTGTTTGAGGATAGATGGGGGGGGGGGGGGGTATTGGAAGTATGTGGGGGAAGGGGTGGGGGGGGGGAGGGAGTCGAGGTTGCGGAAGGCCGATTGGGGATAGGATGGGGCCGAAGGAGGGGGGGGGAGGGGGGCATGCGTAATAAACCAGTGTGCGCAGCCAAGCATAGCTAATTCAGCGTCAGTCCGGTTACCGATACCGAAACACGACTTCCGGAGCGATTCTCTTCCGCGAGAGGGAGGGGGAGGGAGCGGGGAGGGGGAGGATGGAGAGGAGAGGGGAAGAGAAGGGAGGGAGAGAGGGAGGGGA